AAAAAAAAAAGATTTTTGAAAATCACTTTCAGCATCTCGCATTTTCCGAAATTACTTGTCGGGAAAGAAATTAGGTTCAGAATGAATCACAGGTTCACCAGTAAACCGATCACTAGGTAAAAACTTTTAGAGTTGTCCTGACCAGTGCAACAGCACTGGTCATAACAATTCTAAAAGTTCCCAATTGCATGACTGAAAAGTCAAATTATTAGAAGATGAATGAACTATTATTCAGTTCTGATTTACAGATGTTTCATTGTAATCTTATCGCGCTATTTCTCAATACTGAAGCAACACAATTGCTGTGTCTTATCACACGACTATTGATTATTTTGTCAGAACTTGGCTTCCCAGTATGTATTGACGTGGAACATTTTTATGATGTTAACGGAGGAGGTGGGTTTTCACACTTTTTCGTTTTCATTTAACAAAGCTTGCTTCGTCATTTTGATTCTTCTCGCCACTGATGCAGCTGGTCACCATTCTTTTCAGTTCGTACTGGTGCCTCTGGTTGACTTCCCTGTTATTTGACACTGCGTTAGTAGCACTCAGCAATCTGCTTTGTCCGTCTGTTGTCACTCATTCTTGTCACTGGACAAACCTAGTTCTTCCCAATATAAATTGCCCTAACATAATATGACCTACGCTAGACCAGAACCGCTTTACTTTTACGAAAATGTGCCGCAACTTGCTGATCATGCATATTTTGAGTTATAAGGGCCACTTTGCCTTGAAATTAAAAAGCCTGCCTGGATCTAGGTTCATAAATCACCCAAAATAAGGCAAATATCGTAATTTCACGTTAGTTTACTGGATTAAATTATTTAATAAATTAATCTCATTAACTTCCATTTAGTAGTTTTTTCATTTTTTGAATTACAACGCTAGCTTGAAATTGACTCTTATGTCGCAGGTTACAGCACATAGCGAAATAGAAGACGGACGGTCATATAAATGGCCAGGGCCCACGCTCCTGTCTGGACAGATGTGCAAATCTCGTGAAAGATTGAAAAAAGTCAAGGAAATGAGAAGAATTCCAGAATGAAAATGAAAAAGTCAAGGAAATGAGAAGAATCCCAGAATCCCAAAAATTTTCAGGTCAGAAGAATCCCAAAAATTTTTCAGCAATGTTTTCGCTGGCCGTCAGTTTAATTTCAATCGTTGCGGAGCGAACTGCCTCAACACTATTGGTTCGAAAATATGAAAAATTTTGTGCCAGGATACCTTATCTCGGATTAGCAATCATTACTGTACAAGTATGTCACACAATTGTGAACATCGGCGAAAAATCCGAAAAAAAAATTGTCGAGTCGCTTTACGCTATTGTGTATTTGTTATGAAGACTCTCAAGGTTGCCTGGACAATCGGTAGGAGAATCCTAAGCCTGTCACTTACCTAACATGCTGCTACACGTCTGTCGCAGCCTTACCAGGTGCTTTGGCATCCTATCAGTCGTAAGTATTATTAAATTTACTACCACTAGGGGCTTCCGGTTACGGTTAGCACAGCTTTTTCAGGCCATGTTGTCTCAGGGTGACTTACCTGGCTATGCGTGTTGCTCTTCGAAGAACATTATGCTACAAGATGAATTAGATTTTACGCAGCAATAGGCTTTCCCCGCTATGCTAGGGAAAGCCTATTGCTGCGTAGAATCTAATTTTACATTTGATCGGTCTCAACGAGACACGCAAAGCACTGTTTTCCCCATCGCCTTCTGTTACAGCCAGTCGTTCGCTCCTCTTCTTACGTTAATGGTCAAGTTTCGCGTCCCCACATCATTGCTTCAGTGGAGGGAGGTTAGTGTACTGAGTTTAGGCAACGCTGTGAAAGTTACATCAAGCGGATGTCCTATTTTGAAACAAAATAAAAACAGTGTAACACTGAGAAAAAGTAGAAATTTTGAAGTTAGAGAGTATCGAGAAGTCTTGTTTTGACACAGCTCCACAGCTACCGACAAAAGCTATATTAGCACGGATGCTTAAAAAATGTTTTATTTGCAGTGGACTATATGTCTCGCAGCACTAATTGCACTGCATGATCAGTCTGGTCCGTGGATAACGAAACTGATTTCGTCAGTCATTTATACCTGTCACGGTGCTGCTTTATTGGTTAGTTAGCAACTTGGTGTTTTTTGAAGGAAAGAGCCATCATTGGCCTTGTCAGCGAGTAATTAGTTAGTAATGCATTTTGCTTAACTAAGTCTATTGAAGGAGCGAGGAGCGCTTTTTAATAAATTTTTAGCTCATACATGAAATTTCTTCATGACCTGTGTTTCCTAACACAGTCACGATTCTTTGCAGGCTTTTGTACTGCCAAAGGTAAATTAAGTTCATTACAGTTTTATTTTTAATTAAAAACTGCATCCACTCAGGTGGCCCCTTAAACGTTGATGCACATGCATGCTCCGTTTGTCTCGAGTTTACTACCACGTCCTCGGCTCACTATCATAACTGCATGCTGTATTATTTCTCGGCATCACTCTACGCTTGAACTATGCTTGCCTAGTACAGGTATTTCTTCTACTACCGTATGTATCGAAACGGATCGTGCAGAAGGAAATGGATACGCATGATTTAAGCATTCGCTATCAATCGGTGGAAAATATGCGTTCCGCGAATTTGCTGCGCGCTTGTATCGCCATTATTGCCGTGTTGTCGAACATCGCCAATACTTGTGTCCTGCTGACCACTATAGTACCACCGGAATATACTACCCTATGCATATTCATTTTTTACACAACAGCACCTACACAGGTGAGCAGTCAGATTTATACATATGTGAAAATTAATTTAAAACAGAAATTTCGCTAAAATTTAAAACTAAACCCTCATAACTGTAGAAGGAATACTGTAAAGTGTTAAAACTGGAGGAGCAAAAAGGGATCCAAAGAAAGGTATAATAATAATAGGCTCAGTACATAAGAATTTTTATGCGTTTTTTGCAGCTATGTAACGCAACAAACGCATATTGACGGGAGGCTATCTGTTTGTACGTTGGACGTCTGTACCGATTTTGCATCTTTAGATCTACAAAAGCTACAGAGCTAAAACTTTAAGGAACTAATCTACATGCATTTACGAGCTCCAACCCCCCCCCCCCCCCCCCCCCCCCCCCC